TTTCTTTCTTTCTTTCTTTCTTTCTTTCTTTCTTTCTTTCTTTCTTTTTCTGGTTTTACAAGACAGGGTTTCTCTGTGTAGCCTTGACTGCCCTGGACTCACTTTGTAGATCAAGCTGGCCTGAACTCAGAGATCTGCCTGCCTCTGCCTCCTGGATTGCTGGAATCACAGGTGTTCACCACTGCACCTGACTTGACCTGTTTTTTCTATTCCCAAGTCCAGACAGGCTGAAAATATTATTTTAGAAAGATACAGAGCCATTTCCTGAGTCCTCAACCCCAGAGCTTGGGGTAGGCCTGGAGAGTGTCCTCATGGAATTGTCAATACCTGGCAGTTCCAACAAAGAACTAAGAAGGAAAGACAAGTGGTTTTCTTGCGGGAGGAAAGAACGAACAAAAAAGAGCTACAGTGTTCACTTGAGGTTTCCAGTTTTATTTCTTTTAAATTCTGGTCTATATACAAATAGACCAGGTCCTGAGGATGGGCCAGTCTACAGCCAGGTTTATCTGCCATTAAGTCTCCACTCCATGGCTGACACTTATCCTCAGGGGAAGAGGAAAGAGGGGAACGGAACTAACAGTGGCATCTGTGGTAGAAGTCAACGTTGGTCAGTATCAGTGGCATTTTTTCCTGTTGAGCCACTTCCATTGTTTCTGACCTGTTTTTGTTTTGTCCCTTCCCCTTTTCTCTGCCTCTTGTACACAAAGGTGATCTTAAAGGATGTGGACTCACTTCTCTATGTAGACACTGACGTCCTCTTCCTGAGGCCCGTGGATGACATCTGGAAGCTTCTGAGGCAGTTTAACTCCACCCAGCTTGCGGCCATGGCCCCGGAGCATGAAATCCCCAAGATTGGCTGGTACAGCCGCTTTGCCCGGCATCCTTTCTACGGTTCGGCAGGGGTTAATTCAGGGGTTATGCTTATGAACTTGACTCGAATAAGAAGTACCCAGTTCAAGGTAAGCAAGAGCTTGAAAATGCCATCTAAAAGGCTGGAAGTTAACGGCGATAGTGGCGCATGCCTTTAGTCCTAGCGTTCAGGAGGCAGAGGCAGGCAGATCTCTGAGTTCGAGTTCCAGGACAGCCAGGACTATGCAGAGAAACCCTGTCTCAGAGGAAAAAAACAAAAACAACCAACCCAGTAGGGACTGTGGGTGTGGCTATGCTGATTTGGTCTGTGGGTGGAGATGGAAGGACCTAGAGGAAAATACTAGACTGTTGTCCACAATTCTGAGTTTTTGCTTAGAAAAGCCCAGGTGGCTGTGGAATGTGAAGCTTCGTAGTCTCCGTTCAGAAATGCTATGCGATATTTCTGAATTATATAGTGTCTGAACTCTGCCTAGCCAAGGCTTCAAAGCTCAGACCCCAACCAGAATGACTCTAGAAGTGTATTTACGTGAGTATGCAGATTTCTGTTCCTCACTGAGCAGGGTCTCTTTTCTACTAGTAAAAAAAAATAAACAAATGAAAAGAACCAAAATGAGCATCTTTAGATGACAGTTCCCATTCTTCTCATGCTAAGAAGAATAGGAGGCTGGAAGGTAGCTCAGTTGGTTAAGTGCTTCCTTTGCAAGCACTTAACCAACTGTCTTTAATCCACAGAACCCACTCTTTTTTAAAGCCAAAAACTGTTTTTAAAAAGCTGGGCAGTGGTGGTACATGCATTTTACTCCAGCACTCAGGAGACAGAGGCAGGGGGAATCTCTGAGTTTAAGGCCAGCGTGGACTGCAGAGTGAGTTCCAGGAAAACCAGGACTGCATAGAGCGACCCTGTCTTGAAACAAAACAAGAGCCAGATGTGGCTTGCCATCCCAGTGCTGGGGAGACAGAGGCAGGCAGATTTCTGAGGATCACTGGCCAGCCAGCTTATCCTGTGTGGTAAGTCCCAGCTCACTGAGAGATCCTGTCTCACAAAACAAGTAGCCGGTCTCTGAGAAGCAACACTGGAGGCTCTTTGGCCTCCACAAGCACTTGCTCACATGCTCGCATTCACCTACCACACACATGAATGTGCACATACATGTACACATATACACCAAAAAAGGGAGAACAGCTGGTATGTAGTCCATACAGGATTTCAATCCACAGCGTGCCAAAATAGAAAAAGAGGAAGAAGAGGAGGAGGAGGCCAGGGGCTCTGTAGTTAAGATGGTTAACATCCACATGGCAGCTCACAACCATCTGTAACTCCAGTATCAGAGGATCCAATATCCTCCTCTGGCCACCATCGGCACCAGGCACACATGTGGTGTATGGACATATATGCACACAAAAAAACCCCATAAACATTAATAAAAATTCTTAAAAAGAACAGGCTAATCTGTATATCATCAGCAGTCATACAGTTTCCAAAAATATCAAGAGAACAACAATCTCATACTTTTATGCCTTAGAAACTTCCAGAAGAATGCCTAAAAGAGACCTGTAATTGTTCATTGTAGATGCTTTCCTGGAGAGTGGGAATGGGATCTGGAGAGAGCAGCAGGAGAAATGCACTTTTTAACGTTTTTATCTTAAAGTACAGGTTGAACACTTAGCTTGTGGGTGTGCAACGTTTAGCTTAAAAAGTCCCGGCACTCTAAAAGTCCAGACGAGAGCAGGGCTGGGCGTTATAGGTCAGCCTGCCTGGCATGAGCAGCAAAGAGACCCTGTCTCAAACGAGCTGGAAAAGGCAGGGCCGGATGCCAGAGGGCTGTCATCTCGTCCCCCCATATGTGCTGTGACACATGTGTGCTTGCCTCCACACACAAGCAGGCATTCTCCTCACACACCTCACACACCTCACAACAGAAAGGAAAAGGCTGATGAGATGGCTCAGCAGGTAAAGGGGCTTCCATCTAACATTGCAAGCCTGATAACCTGAATTCCGTTTCCCGAACCCACAGAAAGGTACAGAGAAAACCAGCTGCAGGAAACTGTCCCCTGACCTGCATGTGAACCCCATGGCGCATGGTCACACATACATAATGCACACACACCAATAATAAATATTTTTTTCTGGTCCACCCTGCATCCATAGGTGTGTCCCCCAAACCTCTACCCACCACCTTTGCTTTGCTTGGGTCTGGGCCCAGGATAGCAGGACCACACCTGCGTTTGCTCCGTGTCTAGGAAAAAGGAAAGTGGGTTCTCATTTTTAAGCAACAGGGAGCTCTTGCTTTGCCTCAGCTGCACTCATGGTTCTCTCTCTTCCAGAACAGCCTGATTCCAACGGGCCTGGCTTGGGAAGACATGCTGCTCCCGCTGTACCAGAAGTATAAGAATGCCATCACGTGGGGAGACCAGGATTTATTAAATATTATTTTTTATTTCAACCCAGGTAAGTGCTCTTTTCAGAATGCCACTGTGTAGGAGTATGCCCACTTCATTTCACAGGGAACATTCCAGGCCTAGACTGCTATTGACAGACCTACCTAGTGCACAGAGAGGCCTGTGTCCCTCTGGCCCGCCCTTGTATCTGCCCCCTGCATATCTGCGGAGGCAGGTCCTCAGCCACTGACACAAAGGGCCGAATGTTGAAGCCTCCAACGCTGCGCTCCAGTTCTAGAGAGTATCTTTGCAATCTTGTCACACCATTCTTCCAAGAAGTGCTGTGAAAAGTGGTGTAAGGCACAAAACCAGATGACAATATTTTCCTCTCAGCACAAGACCCTCACAGTGGAGCAGCTGCTAGATGAAGGGAGATGGTTCTTAAACTTTAAAACAAAGTCACCCTTCCAGAGTGAAGGGGACCTAGAATAAGATCTCAGATCCCCCAGGAGTTTATTTTGTTAGAGCAAAAGAAAATTTTGTATGTTGTTAATGTGGTGGCTGAGGGAAGGGGCAATTGGGGGAGGGTATCCTGGAGGTTTATGGTGGGTGGGGGAGGGTGTTGTTTTGTTTTGTTTTGTCAACTTGACCCAAGCTAGAGTCCTTTGGGGAAAAGGAATTCCAATTGAAAAAAAAAAAAAAAAAAGATTGGCCATAGGCAACTCTATGGGGCATTTTCTTGATTAATGATTATTGTGGGAGGCCCAGCCCACTGTGGGCGATGCCACCACTGGGCAGATGGTTCTGAGTTGCTGAGCAAGCCCTGGAGAGCAAGCCAATAAGCATCACTCTTTTATGGTCTCTGCTTTTAGTTTCGGCTTCCAGGTTCCTGTCCACTTTGAGTTCTTGACGTCCCTTAGTGCTGGACTATTATCTAGAACTGTAAGATGAAACTCTTTCCTCTCCAAATTGTTTTGGTCATGGTCTTTATCAGAGCAAATAGAAACATAACTAGAACAGAGAAAGATGAACATTTCTGATCTGTGTTTTTATATTAATATCTAACGCTAATAATGTTTTCTCCTCCCCATCCCTACCCTTTACTAAAAGCTTATTTAATTTCATTAAAATAAAAACCACGGTTTTCTTTGAGAAAAATCTTTAGGGGAAATAAGGTAACTCTTATCTTGTCCTGTCAGTCCTTCCTTTCCTGAGGTAGAGACCCAGGTTGATAAAGATTCTGCCTATGGGACATGTCACCCTTAAAGTACTTGTTATGAACCACAAAATGGAAAGGAAAAGAAAAGAAAAGCATCTGCTATGAAACCTAATTATGTATGTCTCTGGATCAAAAACAATCAAATCCTAGGAAAGCAAGCAAGCAAGTCAGTATAGGTTTGAAGGAGAAACTTGCATTACTAACTACATGAGCAGAGGCAGTCTTGGCTCTTCATGTGTGAGGGTTTTTTTTGTTTTGTTTTTTTGTTGTTTTTTTTTTTTCTCTCCTTAAGCAGAAATTGTCTTTTCTGTAGGTCATGGTGCATCAGTTAGGATTAGGATTCCAGGGCCCTGTAGATAGTCCAAAGGGTGCTGGTTAAATAGGCAGATGGAGTGTCATAGAATCAAGGAGTAGGAATGCTAAAAGGGGCTCAGCCCAGTGACTTGGTGAGGAATGCAGGTGCCATGCACCGCCTCCCACTGATGCTGTTTATTCCTCTCTTTGAAGATTGTCAGCCTGTTCCTCAGGCCTCAAAGCAATGTACAGAGTTTCTGCTATGGGTCCAGCCACCCACAGAGACTAGATTTATGGCGATTCCACACTCCCTAGGGAGAAGTCCCAGGGTTCTGGCAGGGATCAGCAGGGCCAGCATGGAGTTGGGGAATGACATCTGGTATGTACCATCGCCTTAGCTTAATCCTCATTGTGACCTAATACCTGGCAGAAACAACTTCAGGAAAAGGGATTTATTTTACTCACGGTTTTGGAGTTATCAGTCTGGGACAATCTGGAGAAACAGCTCACACCATGTTTTCAGAGAATGTGCTAGAGGCAGCTTACTCATGGCGGCCAGGGAGCAGAGAGAGAAGAAGGGGGTCCTCAGGCCAAGTCAAGCCTTCAAAGGCACACTCCCACTGACCTTCTGGGTAAGCACTATCTAAAGTTTCCAGAACCTTCCAGATAATGCCACCAGTTGGAGAACCATGCTCAAAACTTGAGCTTATGGGGGTATTTTATATTCACACTCTAACAAGTAGTTACCAGGTGGCAGGTGTTAGGATAAAATGGAGCAGGTTGAGGTCAAGGTGTACCACTAAGAGATCATGTGACACAATAGCTCTATCTAACACAAGAAGTTTATTGGGGGAGGGAGGAGAGTGAAAGGCTGCCTCAGAGTGGAGACATGAGAGGGAGAGATAAAGACAGACAGACAAACAGGGAGACAGAGAATGAGAGAAAGAGAGAACAAGAGAGAGCCAAGATGTCCAGAGGGACTTTTTAAATTGTGGACGTGTTGCTATGCAACTATTAGTGACAAAAGTGGAAATGCACTGTACCTGGCACTGATGTGGTCAGTGATGACATAAGCTGCTGGCACTGAGTAGCTGAAAGGCAGGTTGGCAGAGCGCCTAATTTACAACAGCAGGTGCTGGTCGAAGCCTTATCTTATTCAATCTTCATAATGACTGTCTTGATCAGTGTTTATTGCTCTAAAGAGACACATGACCATGGAAACTCTTAGAATTTAACTGGAGCTTGCTCACAGTTTCAGAGGTTTAGTCCATTATCACCGTCATCAGGAGCACGGCAGCACACAGACAGCATGGTGCTGGAGAAACAGTTGAGAGTTCCACATCCAGACCCCAAGGCCCAGAACGAGAGAAACTCCAGGCTTGGAATGAGCTTTTGAAACCTCAAACTCTATCCCCGGTGACACACTGCCTCCAACAAGGCCACACCTCATAACCCTTTCAAATAGTGCCGTTCCCTGGAGACCAAATATTCAAATCTATGAGCCTATGGGGGCCACTCTCCTCCAGACCACTATAATGACCCAGCATTTTATAGAGAGTAAAGTCAAGGGAAACAGAGGTGATGATTCTCAGCAGAGATAATAGGTGGCAGCACAGGTGTATACAACCAAGGTCCATACTCCAGTTACATAGAGAGGCGGTGGGGAATATCTTAGACTGGGATGGAAGGCCCTGGAGCACCTAGCATGGGTATTTTTGACTCTTGTTATTTCTTTCCTTTAAATATGACGTTTTGGGGGCTGGAGAGATGACTCCATGGTTAAAAATGTGTCCTGCTCTTGCAAAGGACCTCAGTTCAGTTTCCAGCAGCCACATCAGTCAGTTCACAACTGCCTGTCACTCCATATCCAAGGGATCTGACACCTCTGTTCCCTGCAGGTACTTACCCGTGTACATGTGCGCACATACACACACACACACACACACACACACACACACACACACACACAGACACACAATCTATATTCCCAAGCTGAGAACAAGCCATTCGAAAAACACAGTTGCTTTGCCACAAATCCTCTTAGCTTATCGAGGAATGTTTGAGGACACAGTGGTGGTCTGAAGAGGAACGGCCCTCATAGGCTCATCTGTTTGAATACCCAGTCATTAGAGAGTGGCGCTATTTAAAAATGTTAGGAGGTGTGGCCTTTTTGGAGGAAATGTGAGACTAAAGTTGGGCTTTGAGGGTTCAAAAGGCCAAGCCAGGTTCCAGTCTCTCTCTTCCTGTTGCCTGGGATCAGGATGTAGAACTCCCAGCTACTTCTCCGATACCATGTCTGCCTGCACGCCACCATTCTCATCATGATGAGGATGGATTAAGCCTCTGAAACTTCAAGCACACCCCAATTAAGTGTTTTCTTTTATAAGAGTTGCTGTAGTCATGGTGTCTGTTCACAGCAATAGAACACGAACTAAGACAGATAGGATCAGTGAGTAAATAATACTATAAACATCTTCGTAGTGACAGTTCTGGAATTTTGGTTTATTTTCTTTTCAAAAAACAGAAATATTATAAGAACACATTTTTATTTTAATCCTAGGTGTGAGAATATGGGGCTGCTTTGGACTATCGGAAAGAGTGAACTATGATTTGCCTCGTGCTCTAGCAGAGGTGTGGTTTTGCCAGCTGCAGATAGTGTCTGTGATTGTGTGACATTAGGAATTCTGGGAATTTTTCAGAGGCTATATAAATGCTAGCACCCCGATAGGTAGGGGAGGGGGTTGTTGGTCGTCCAAGGGGGTTGATTGTGGTTTGTTAGTAGTCATGCTCAAAGAAGAAAAGAATTAGATTCAAGGATCTGTATCTGTTTTTCTTTCCTATCTAGTGATAAGCAGTGAAATAGGTAGCAGGAATAAAGGGTAGGGAAAAGAAGACACCACAGAGTAGCAAAGACCAGTGACACAGCTTTGCACTTTGAGTGCATTGCCTTTAGTTGGGCCTAACCCCAGCTTGGTTTGATGGCCTGGGTGCCTCCTTCTGAGGCCCACTGAGCCAAAGATACTGTGACACAGATAGGAAGTTGTTCTAAATCCTGGTTCTTGGCAGAGCCTGGAAGGCAACCAAAAGCTCTGGTGTCTGGTCAGTGTCAGGTGAACTCACTCGCTGTTCTCTGTGTGGCTGATTGCATTTTATGCTTTACCCAGGCACTGTATTAAACATTAGCTCTCTCTAATGAACATCTAAGGACAGCCACCCCTATAAGTTTTCCTTTCACTTATTTTATGTGTGGGTTTCTGCAACCTGTATTTTTTCTTTTTTAAGATTTATCACTTTTAGCATTGTAAAAAAAAGAGGGTGATAATATTAGCAGCAACCTAGGAGATAAACATGTTTATTGTTGAGGCTTATTGGATTACAGTGGAGAGAGCCATGTATGTAAAGCATGCAGCACGTGGCTACAGTGTTAGGGTGATGAGAGTCTCCTGCAGCCAGTAACCTGCTTCCTGGGATGTATTTAAAAGCCATTAGCTAAAAACTGTTGTAAACTTCCTGCCATAATTAGATCATAAATGTGTGTAGGTATGCAATTGCCTGGCTAGGTTACAGCCTGACAGGAGGGGCTGAAGCCCATGGGGGCTGTACAGGCAGCTGCTCCCACAGGACATTTCCTGGTATGTGAGCCAAGGTGGCTGTTCCGGGATGAAAGGCTGAACTTACATCCTGAGTGTATGAGTGTGTGTGTATGTGAGTGTGTGTGTGTTCATATGTATGCATACGTGTGTGGGTGCGTGCATGTAGAGGACAAAGGTTGACTTTGGGTGTCTTCCTCAGTCACAAGCCATCTATTTTTTTTTTTTTTTTTTTGAGGCAGGGCCTTTCCTTGAACCTGTAGCTTGCCTTTGAGTATACAGTCTAGTTGTCCAGCAAAGCCGAAGGCTCCTCCACCCGTGTCTGTCTCCCTAGCCCTAGAATTGCTACTGCTGTGCCTATGTGTGGGACTTGAACTCAGGTTCTTGCTTGCAAGACAAGCACTTTACCGGTTGAGCCATCTCTTCAGCCCATGAGCTCATATCTTGACAGGTAAGTTTGAGTCATGGGCAGAGTTTAGTAGAAAGCAAAGCTGAACAAAACCCAAAGGAACTCTGGTGGAATGAATGAGCTGTAGTGTCAGGGGTGGCCACATGGGCCAGGTGAAGCCACGCTTTCCGGGGGCTGTCTTTGAAATGCTGCTAAGAACTGCAAAGATTTCTTGAGACTTCAGAAGCGTCTTGGGCTTTGGCATCTTTTCTTCTTATGAGCTTCCAGTGTCTCTGACAGAATTCTCTGTTTGCCCAGCTCTGATTGCCAGCCAATGCAACCATGAGAGACCACAGCAAATAATGATGGTTTTCTCATAGTTCTTAATTCCAGTGGGACAGAAGTAGCCTGGCTGTGAAGACCAACCTTGAGCTGGGAGCAAGGGGCCAAAGGAGCAGAGTTTTGCTCACTCACTGCGTAACTCCGTTGCTTGAGCTGGGAGCAGGCCCCATAGTCACACAGGTCAGATCTCATTAATAGACTTATTGTAGGTCCTCATCTTCATCCTTCCCAGGACACCCAGAGCCCTGGCCTGAAGTGTTTGTCTACAGTGAGTGAATACAGCAATGGAAGCACCCAGCCCCAGGCAGTAGTAGTGAGTGCTGTGATGTGACCAGCTCAGTTACCTCACATTAAGGCTCTTCTGGACACTGGTGGGGTGGGAAGATCACGAGTCCTGAAGCATAAAAGATAAACGTGGATGTTTTAGGGTCCATGTAAGAAATGCATGGTTTGTGGTTTTTGTTTTGTTGTTGTTGTTGTTTTTCGGTGCAAGGTTAAATGTTTTTCAGAAGTCTTGGCTAAATGGATGGGATTAGGAAAACAGATTGGCGGCTGGAGAGATGGCTCAGAGGTTAAGAGCACTGGCTAATCTTCCAATGGTCCTGAGTTCAGTTCCCAGCAAGTACATGGTGGCTCATAACCATCTGTAGTGAGATCTGGTGCATGGGCACACATGCAGGCAGAATGCTGTATAAATAATAAATCTTTAAGAAAATAGAATGGCAGAGTGAAGTAAATCACAGCAAGGGAACTGGGAAAGGGGGAGTAGAAACAGAAAGAAGCATAGAGCAGAAGACAGAGGTACTTATAGTATAGAAGGCATAAAGTTCACTCTTCATTCATTCATTCATTCATTCATTCATTCAGCATGTGTGTGTGCACACAAGAGCACACACATACAAAGGGGAAGGGAAGGGGAGACTGGCCCTGCCTCTACCTGCTGAGTTCTGGGATTACAGGTGTGCACCACAACCGCCAAAGATGACTATCATGTTGCAAAAGCCTTTGTTCTGTTGGTGGAGGGCGGTAATTGAGTGGCAGGCTCACCTTTCTGAGAAGTTAAAGTGATCGGGCACAAACCGTTCTATAATCCTCAGTACCCACTGGGTATGAATCATCAGAGCTGCAAGGAGACCCTGGCACTGTGTGGACTCCTAAAGGTCATGAATGGATATCACCCATAGAGAACCAGTTAATGACGTTTTATATAACTTTGGGAGAGAAAATAGGGATTTTTTTTCTCTTCATCCCTCAAGCGTGAGACCAAGGTGACTTTAATTTTCATTTTTTATTTTATTTATTTATTTATCTACTTACTTACTTACTTATTTATTTATTTATTTATTTATTTATTTGTTTGTTTTTATTTATTTATTTATTTATTTATTGTGCTTGAGCCTCGTTGTGTGGCCTGTATTCAGCCTTCCCAGTGATGTTTGCTTAGCTGGTCTCCTCCTCCTGTTTGTAAGATGGACAGTTCAAATAGTAACTTCATACAGAGTTAACCTGTAAATAAACAGACACATCTGAGTACTTGGAGGGGGTCGTGGGAAGATGGGGACACACCTAGAGAGGTATTCATGTACAAGGGTACACATGCACATATGTAGAGGCCAAAGGACAGCCATGTTTCTCAGGAGGACAGGATCTCTCATTGGCCTGGAACTCACCACATGGGCCAGGTTGGCTGGCCAGAGAGCCACAGGGACCTGACTTCTCTGCTTGAGAATGCAAAGATGCTACCATACCTGGCTATTTTTACTTGAGTTCTGGGGATCAAGTCAGGCCTTCAAGCTTTTACCACAATCACATTGCCGACTAAGCTAGCCCCTAGACCAAATCATATTTTTTTATCTCCCTACTGTTGATTGCTTTATTTTGGTAACAGTGTCCCCACTGCTGGACGGAATTGCTCTTTCCCCATCTCAAGAGCCCTGCCCTCAGGTGATTCCCTGCTGAACCAGTCAGACCATCCATTCCCTGGTTTCTAAATCCTGCAAACCCAAGAGCAGAATCCATGGCTGGTTCGCCCAGGCTGCAGGGCTGAAAGGCTGATGTCAATTAGTCCCCACCCTAAGCTGCTCTACTTCTGGTCCTGGTTCAGCCTCCCCTCAGATTTTATGGGCCACTTAGTTGTCTGCAATCCAACACAGATTCCTGTGCCTTTATCATTTCAGACCAAGGCACTGTATTTATGGCAGCTCCTCGTCTATCTCCCATCCCCATCAAAGAGATCCCTCCAACAAAACCCAAATGACTTACGTTCTTCTAAAACACATTCTGATTTTCAGAATGTTAACACCATCAGACCATTTTTTTTTTTTTTTTCTCTCCTCGAAGTGATCTTCCAAGGCCTTGTTTCTGTCAGAATTGCATCCTGGCTAAATCCTGCATTTAAATGAACCTGTCAGGAGAGAACACCACTCTTGTGCGGTGACACAGGGAACGGATTCTTCCTGTGATCATATATATGTATGGCATTTTGCATTTCTTGCTCCAGAAAATTCTGTCGAGATCGAAATTGAATCTCTTCCCGAGTTTCATTTCGTATCTGAGGTTTGGCGACTGGGTCACTCAGCTGGTGTTTAGGAGACGTACAAGGCCCTGAACTTACAGTCAAACATTTTTTTAAGTCTGTTTCGCCCCAGCTGTTGTTCTCCACACTTGGGGTCGACAGCTTCTATCAGGTTCACAAAGAGACCTGTGACTCACGAAATGGTAAAGAGTGGCCCTGCGTCTGTGGGGATGTCACAAACGCTAAACGTTGGTTTACTGTGTGTGGTAGTCACTGTGTGGCTTGAACATGAAATGCTCCCTTTAGGTGGGTATGTTGGGACAGTTAATCCCAGCCCATTTTGGAAGGACATGGTACCATTGGGAGGTGGAGCCTCACTGGAAGTTTTGTATTTGGGTTTTTTTTTTTTAAATCTGAAGAGAACTCTTTAATCTCAGCTCCTCTTTTGTGAGTTTCTCCACTTGAAAGAACCTTTCCAAAGAAATGATTCATTCCTGACACTCTTGGGCAGTCCTGTGCGCTCGGCACCCTGTGTCGCATTTGCTGCATATTTGGTTTTCTCCTCTTGGATGCTATATGAATGTTAAGCAACTTCTCATCCTCAGCCTGACGGATATTAAATTTTTAATAAGCCACATAAAGGAAATCCTGTTCGTTCCATTTTACAGACGAAGAGGCTGAGGGATAGAGAAGTACATGACTGGTTCCAGATTTCACTGTTCATGAGTGAGGATTTGGGGTTCAGATTCAAATGTGCTGGTTAGTTTTTTGTCAGTCGGACACAAATTAGAGTTACCTAGGAAAAACCAGAGTTGAGGAATTAAGCCCATCATATTGGCCTGTGGGCACATCAGTGAGGCATTAATTTCCTGATTAGTGATTGATGCGATGCCTCCCCTGGGTAAGTGGTCCAGCATTGTATAAGAAATCGAACTGGGCAAGTCATGCAGAGCAAGCCAGGAAGCAGCATCCCTCCATGATGTCTGCTTCAGTGTCTTCCTCCAGATTCCTGACTTGAATTCCTGCTCGGACTTCCGTTGGTGACACACTGTTACCTGGAAGTTGATATAAAATAAACCCTTCCCCCTCCAAGTTGGCTTTTGGTCCTGGTGTTAATCGCAACAACAGAGAAGCAAACTAAGACTGTAGTCTAATTGATGCCTACCTTGGTTTAACTCTTTAGGAGTTTTTGATATAGTTTACCTGCCTACATCATCACTAATGGGTGCCCCTTTGATCATTGATCTCAGAATTTAAATGAACGCGATATACCTGCCCTGGGACTCACAGCCATGCTTCTGAGCATTGAAATTGGGCACAGAGTATGGTTTATAAATACTGAGTTTTAAGCGCCACGCACACAGGTGACAGCCAGCATTGACTGTAGGTGTCTCTCTTCCTCTGTTGCCACCAGAGTGTCTCTACGTGTTCCCCTGCCAGTGGAACTACCGCCCCGATCACTGCATGTATGGAAGCAACTGCAAAGAGGCCGAGCGAGAAGGCGTGTCTGTTCTGCATGGCAACCGTGGCGTCTACCACGATGATAAACAGCCCACTTTCCGAGCGCTTTATGAAGCCGTCCGGGATGTAAGTGTGTTCTTCAGAGCACCGCGTGGCAGACACCTGCTTACCAGCATGAGGCGCTTCAAGTGCTGTGGTCCGTGGTCCGGGGGCCTTTGAAGGCCAAACACTCCCAGAGAGAACTCCAGTGCCTTTTGTCATCCTGTGGAGTAAGAGTTCAGGGTAAAGAGAAAGCAACAAACGTGAGATTGTTTTATTTAGTTCAAGCTTAGCATGTTGCCTGGTTACCAGCTCCAAGCTCTTAGGCAATCGCATCTCAGGCTGGTCAATTAGAAGTTGCCACAGTGAAAGCAGCAGTTTTTTTTTTTTTTTCTTTATCTGTGTATGTGTGTGCACATGATTGTGTCTCTTGCATGTGTATGTATATGTGTGTGTGTTGTGTGGGGGGGGGGGTGTGCGTATGGACCAGAGGTTGACACTGGATGTTTTCAACAATCACTTTTCACCTTTTTTTTTTTTTTAAATGTGTATGGGTGTTTTGCCTGCATGCATGCCTGTGTACCACATGTGTGCCTGGTGCCTTGGAGGGCAGAAGAGGGTGTTGGATTTCCTGGAACTGTAGTCACAGAAGGTTGTGAGCCACCACAGAGGTGCTGGGAATTGAGCCCACGTTCTCTAGAAGAGCAGCCAATGCCCTTCACTACTGAGCCATTTCTCCGGCCCCTCTACTTTATATGTTGAGACATAACCTAGAGTACGATGGTTTGGCTAGCAAACTCCAGGATCCTATCTGTCTGTACCTCCCCAGTCCTGGGATTCCAGGTGTATGCCAACACTCACAGCTTTTTACACGGGTGCTGAGCATCAAACTCAGGCCTGTAAATTTGCATACAAGCACTTTACCAACTAAGCCACGTGCTGTTAAGGTAGTATTTTTTAAAAACTCTTTTATTTACATTTTTTGTATCTTTCTCTTTACCCTAATCCCTTCCAACACCCCAGCACCAGGTAGGAGAGAGAAAGGGTTAGCGAGAGAGGGGCCCCAGTTCTCTTAGCTGCTTCCTGCTGGTTAGGGCCATCGGATTCTTTGGAGCCAGTCCAATCCTCCTTTCAGGAGATCTCCAACTTCTTGTTTCATTGCATCAGCAGCAACCAGGAGCCAAAGGAGGGGGAAGCAGCAGCAGCCTTACTCCTTCTCGGAGCTCTTCAACACTCTCTGGGTTCTGGCATTTATTCTCTTTCCAGAGTCCTCCGATTTAAACTATCTGCAGCTAGCAAAGAGCTCCTCTCAGAGCCCGCACAAGACAAATAGTTTGCTGCTGTGGACTATCTGAATCAGTCCCACATTCCACTCGTGGGGTTAAAACAAAAACATGTTTATATCCACAACGATATACATAGCCTACCAAGTCTTTATGGACTTAACAGCGCAAGCAAGAAGCAAAAAGAGATGCCTGCCATTTTTACCACCAAAAGGGATATGTGATGGTTGTGTGGACACAACTCAGGTGGTAGGAATCGTCTCATAGCCAAGAGGCCTTGAGGAAAAGACTCCTGCATCTCATGAACCATGTAGCTGCATGTTTGATCTCAAAGTTCACATACGGTAGGGGCCCTCCCCCGTGGTTTTACTTTGCATGGTTTCAGCCACCATGTTCAACCACGATCCAAAAATATAACATGGAAAATTCCAGAGTTATGTGGAATTTTGTTGTAACTTGTTAGCTGTTTCATGTTTGTGTAACATGAAATTTGATGCCGTCCTGCACTGTCCTGCCAGGGATGTGAACCATCTCTTTGTACACGTATCCAAGACTGTGTATGTTACCTGCCCACTAGTAATGTAGTAACCCCAGGGTATCCAGGCTGTAGGGTTTGGTACTCATCACGATCTCAGGCATCCACCAAGGATGTAGACAAGTATCCCCCATGATAGCAAGTAAAATGCTAGCATGCAGTGAAGTGGATTCTCAATTAGTTTGAGCCTATTCCTTGAAAAGATAGCTGAACACAGCAGTTCAGGATTCTGCCAACTATTCCCTTGGGACGTTCTGTTTTGCCTGTTACCTTTTACCTTGATATTGAGGTTGCTGCTGTAGGAAACCAACAGCCAGTACTTAAGGAGTGCTGTCCTTAAACTGTTCCTCTAAGACACGGAGCAGGAATTAGCAGAATTTTCCAACATGAAGAATCTGTGGGAGGTTTGTGTTTCAGCATTTATAAAGTTGTGGGAGAACACAGTGACCTTCTCCATTCATGTACTGTCACTGGCTTCATTAACAAACCAGCAGCAGAGAGTATTAATTATGACTGTAGGGTCCACCATGCCCAAAGTATTTGCTGTTTACCCCTACCCTGACAAGAACTGTTTGCCAGTCTCCTGATACAGACTTTATTAAAGATTCTTTTTTTCTTCTTGAGGATCTGCAGACCCACTGCTGGCATTCAGATAGACACATGCCGCGGCTATGTGTGGAGGTCAGAAACTAGCCTCGGATGTTGTTTATCTCCTACGTTGTGGAGGCAGGGTCTCTGTCATTCACGGTTTCATGTGCCAGGCTAGCTGGTCCTTGCGATTCTGGGGTCTCCCATCCTACCATAGGAGCACAGGGGGTTACAGGTACTACCATGGCAGGCTTCTTGTGGCTTCTGGGGATCTGGACATGGGTCTCCACCTTTTGTGGCAAGCACTCTTCCCACAGAGTGATGTGTCTTTGTGACCCACTGAGCCATCCCCTTGCCTGTAATACACCTCTGTGTGTCTGAAGATGAGCATTTTACTAAAGAGTTCCAGTTCTGGAAATCCCAGGGCTGTCCTCCCCACAGGGGATCCCTTAACATGCATCTAAACACCTCTTCTCCTGTTTCCTGCTGTTTAGTTTTCAAAGGGCAAGTGATTAAATTACACAATCTGTTATGCACTCAGCAACATTCTCACACTTGGTTTCTCAAGCAGTGACTCAAGGGGGAAACCCATCCCCCAGCACGAGTGGAAGTCATGAAAGTGTGCAGCCGTGGAGGCTCACTGGAGTCCTCTCCACTTTCCCTTGTGATCTGGCCCTGCTCTGGGATTGAGCAATTGTGGCTGACTTATGACTCATCTGGTGTGTTCTCACAGGGGATCAGAAAGACAGCCAAATGACTTTGCTTCTTGAACAGCTCTGCATAATCGCTCCAAGGAGTTCCATGGCTTGGCGTCAAAAGACAGTTTTCATTCAGGCATTTCCATTGGGACAGTCGCTAGCTCCAGATCAACAGGGGCGTGAACACACTCCATTGTAAAGCTGTGTTCCCCTATGCCGACCTCCTGCTACTGGGCCGTGGTGTTCTCATCATACAGTAAAGGATCAGAGCTGGCTTTCTGCCTGGGCAGACTTGGGCTCAAACCCCAGTTCTGTCACCTTCTGATTAGCCATTAACTGCTGTTGCCTTGCTGAGCCTCAGTTGATTTCCTCATCATAAAATGAAGATAATAGGGAGCTGGAGACAGGCTCAGCAGTTAAAGAGTACTGGCTGCTTTTCTAGAGGACCCAGGTTCAGTTCCCGCCCCCACGTGGCAGCTCACACCTGTCTGTAACTCCATGACCTGACACCCTCACGTAGACATATACGCAGGTAAAACACCAGTGCACATGAAAGAAAAATAAGAAAAAATATCAAATCAAATAAATATAATAATGTTATCTTCCAGGAGAAATGGCTCAGAGGTTAAGAGCATTTGCTCTTCCACAAGACCAGAGTTCTATTCTCAGCATCCATGAAAGATGGCTCACATCCACTCATAACTCCAACTGTATAGGATCTATAAACCTCTTCTGGCTTCTGTGGGCATGCCCACACATGTGGCACGCACACACACACACACATACTTTAAGAAAACTATTATCTTCATAATGAGACAGTTATGAGAATTAACAAAATGATGGCTTTTAAACTGTAATCACACACCTGACAGTTGTATTCAGAATGTAGACATTGTTCTAATGGCAAACATTTCCCATCTGTCTCCCTAGCTTGCTGTCTTTCTTTCTCATATACACACAGCCTAACTGTGTGTGTGTGTGTGTGTGTGTGTGTGTGTGTGTGTGTGTGTGTGTGT